TAAGGCCTACACATAAAACCTTTTAAATAAATCAGTTTAGGAACATCATTTAGTCTTGATTTTTTGTAAACAAAATGAGATCTCAATTTTTGTTAGAACCAGGGCATAAAAAGGCTTCTGAATTATCTTTACGAACTCCTACACAATCTTTATGATACCACCAAATGGTGGTAGCATATCTGCTACATTTTCTTCGAGACAGGCATGATAATATCAGCTTTAATCCTTTAGAATTATACATACGGCTTTTTTTTCTTATTTTTTATTGGTTTTGTATTTTGTTTCTTTTTTTTACAGGTTTAGTAATTTTTTTTTACTCTGTTTTCTTTTTATTTTCTGTGCTGTTAGTAACATTCTTATTAAATAAATATTTAGTTACTCTTTGACTCATTTAGTTTAATGAATTTTCCGTAATCAAGTGTTGACATAAGTATCCAATATGGCCTACCATGCTGAAATAAGGCCTAGGCCTTATTAGATATTTCGCTCCTGTTGTCTTTAAAAATTTACAAATAATGCATCTATAGCCAGTAGTACAAATTAAGGTAATTATTAGCTAGTAAGAAATATTTAGAATCGATTACTAAGAAAAGCTTAATCTAAAACAGCGTTATTTTACCGAAAATTTAAGATGAAATCGCCAGATTTTTATAAGAGAGCACGAAATCACCCACCACCTTAGAAGAACGCGTGCCAATTGGTGCCGGGATCGTGGATCGGGACGCTCTTGCACTCTACTGGGATAAAGGGCATATGAGTACGTGTCCTTGAAGTATTATCCCGGTTGGATTTGTTTATCTGTGTTTTCTGATGTATAGGCCTTATTAGAACGTAGGCCTTATTTGTATCAAGTACCTTATTATAAAAGCGAAAGTTTGTAAGTATGGATGTCTGGATGTTAACATGTTTGTTACTCTTTCACGCAAAAACTACTGAACGGATTTTGATGAAACTTTATAGTATTATTATTTATAACCCAGAATAACATAATATTATTATAGGCTTTAATTTATGACGATCTATGACAAAATAAATTTCACGCGGGTGAAGCCGCGGGCAAAAGCTAGTATTTCGTAGTTTCGTGATATTTTCACATAAGGGCCATTACACACAAAGTTTTTACAGCGACAAAACGCGTTTTATAATCGCATTATTTTGCGATGCAATCGTTGCTCTTGCTTCTTTATTCGTCTCTGCTGAAAAAGAAATTATACTTAGGTACTCATACGTCATAATTATCCTGTCACCATGGTCGACTGGAAGAAATCGCTTTATTTATAGCGATAAGCTCACCAATTCTTCATGTAATTCTTAACTATTTTAATGTTTAAATCTGTGTACGAACTGTTAAATCAAATAAAATATAGAGCTTTAGAAACAGAGGATGACGTCATAGTATAGATCTATTGATGACCTCATACAGATGCTTTTTGACTGTAGTTAAAAAAAGTGTTATTGTATTAAAAATTATTATTTATTAGCTTTTATTTTAAACTAAGAACTACCTCCACCTCTCTCAAGTTAATTGGGAGAGATTATACATCAGCGATTAGACCGTCTACACTTAAAAAAAGCATTATGTAATCGAAAAAAACTATGTAGGTAGTGGAAAAAGAGCAAAAAAGTACTATCGATGTGTTTTTACAAATCCTATTAAAAAAAATATGCAAAAAATTTTAATTTTATTATTTAAAAACGAAAATCTTCAAAAAAAATCGTAAAAATGTAAGAAAATCTTTTTTTTTCAGACTCATTCCCGTTTTCCTTTTTTACTATTTTTTTTTATACAAAAAGTGGCCGCCCCCGGGTGGACTCGAACCACCAACCTTTCGGTTAACAGCCGAACGCGCTAACCGATTGCGCCACGAAGGCGATAGTGGTTTCATCCAATTTTGTAAAGCCGTTGGACTTAGATAAAAAAAACGTAGGTGACTAAACTTACTATTTATCATAAACAATGCTATTATTAGTTCTTAGTAGGTGTTTAAAAATACTGCATTGAAGCTATTTACATAATAATTTATTATAAATTAGCGAATATTTGAGACTATAAGAGCCAAAGCACACGATTCGTTGCGCCACCGCATCACAAAGATTTCGTCGTATCGCGCGGCGCCGGCGTCGCACCGCTCGTATGCCCGCCATAGATATTTCTATGTAAGACGACGCAGCGACACCGCTCCGGCGTCGCATCGCTGTCGCAATGCATCATGTGCTTTGGATCTTATAGATTTTTCTGCCTCTCAGCACTGGCCCATTTATTGTCCCGAAGCAGTGGTGGGGTTAATACTGGGACGTGTAAAAGTGCATTTTGAAAACCTATTTGGAAAAATAAATGAGTTTTATCAGTTTTTATGAGTTTTTATTGCCGATATTACAAAATTGGCTCATAATAAAAATACAGAATTATTATGAATGACACAATTTAGGTGGTCTTACCGCTAAGAAACGATCTCTACCAGACAATACAGTGACAGATTTTTTTATTGAGAGATTATCAAAAATAAAATCAATTTAGTACCATCTCTACATTTAAAACATGAAAAACAAGTTTATTTTATAAACTGTCTTCACTATCAAATAATACGCCCGTATTCACAAACGATGCTTGCTTAAGTGAAGCAGCAAATAAACCGCACAGCGTTTCGAATAGAGCTCTGTGATTGGTTTGTATGTGACTCTGTGCGTCCGCGCGCACTGTGAGACCTCATAGTAATGTTTGTGAATACGGGCGTTAGTCTACGAGCATAGCAAATATTTCATAATCACCTATTGTTATTATGATTATATAGACGCATGCTTATGTAACTATTTACCTATTTACTCAGATGTGTCATTGTCACTGAGAACTCTATTATACAGGGTGTTAGGTAAATGGGTATATGTGCCGACACTAGCCCATGTTAACATGGTTATATAAATGGTATGGTGAAGTCAGAAAATTGATATCTTCATTTTAATTATTTTAATTTTCATACAAATCGGATTTTATAAAATTTATTTTGTATGAAAATTAAAAAAGTTAAAATGATGATATCAAATTTCTGACTTCGCCATACCATTTATATGCCCATGCTAACATGGGCTAGTGTCGGCTCATATACCCATTTACCTAACACCCTGTAGATGAGCCACGTTGAACTGTCCCACCAAACTCAATGACAGGGGGGCGCTACCATCGTTCAACTATATGGTTTCCAAGATGGCAAAAATCTGAACCAGCGATCCGGTATTGACGGTGGCGCCCCGCTGTCAATGTCGTGCATAGGACAGTTCAGTATTTTGGAACTATACCTCAGGCACGGACTGAGTTAAGCGCTAGAACTTACATAATTACAAAATATTAAATTAGTAAAATCAGTCTTATCATAAATTATGTAATACTCGTAACATTATTACATTTCATTATCTCCTTATCAATCAGTTCAAAGATAATTAATTAATTTATATTGGTACTAGCTTTCCGCCCGCGGCTTCGCCCGCGTGGAATTTTGTCTGTCACAGAAAAACTTTATCGCGCGCGTCCCTGTTTCAAAAACCGGGATAAAAACTATCCTATGTTCTTTCCCGGGACTCAAACTATCTCTATGCCAAATTTCATCAAAATCGGTTGCGAGGTATAAGCGGGAAAGCGTAACAGACAGACAGACAGAGTTACTTTCGCATTTATAATATTAGTTGGGATTTTAATATATTATCAACATTGATGGTTATCTAATATTGATTAGATTGGTTAATTAAAAATATCGGCATTCAAAAGTATTACAGCAAGGACGTCATAATTATTATTAAAAAAAAGAACACTTTTGGTTTTGATACTTTGGGTCTTTTTATTCGACTTCAAAAAAGGAGGCGGTTCACATTTCAAAGTAAACTTCATGAAGTAAAAATTAATAAAATTGCATTATTTATTATTACGTATCGATTGTAGACTCCCACAGGTGGACTGACGACCTCATAAAGGTAGCAGGAAGGCGCTGGATGCAGGCCGCTACCACACCCGTCCGATCTGGAAAATTGGAAATCATTGGCGGAGGCCTATGCTCAACAGTGGACGTCCTGTGACTGAAATGATGATGATGATGATGATGTTGAAAGCTGCCAAAATTTAGTGAAGCTTTATTGCACAAAATAGTGAACTAATACCAGGCCTGTTCATCTCCGCGAGTTTACATCGAAAACAAAACACGCACGATGGCCCACCTACAGGATACTATTCGACAAGGCCTCACATACGAGCGAACATTGACTCACGCACGCGTATTCTTGTGTATGATGGAAGAAAATAAAGAAAATGGTGTACTAAATACTGTGCAGTATTTAACTGCCTAAATAATAATAAAAACACAGAATGTACTTTTTTAAGTTGCCTCAAGACACTGAGAGGTAAATAAGTAGTTAATATTATTCATGATAATTCATGCTAAATCATGTATTTCCTCCGCCATTTTCCGCAGTTTGGCACCTCACGTCACATCATTTTACCGAAGTCAGCCCTATAGCTTCGGCGCAGTGCCGATCACTGACGTTTGTCAACAAAATGGTGCTTGACTCTTGAGACAGGCTAAATTACACCATATTGTTAATGACATTGAGCATATATTTTTTTAAATACCTTCGCGAAGTAAAACTTCTGTACGTAGTACTTATTATTATTCTGTGCTAATACTAAATATCCAACTGCTGTGCTATGAGCAGGGTTGAAAAAATAGATGGGTTGGAAAAAGAAATCAAAATCAAAATCAAAAATATTTATTCAGTTCACTTATCGTCGCTTGCCTCTCTAACTGACGTAACTGACATTTTGCAAAATTTTCAGGCGATTAGACAGATCGATTCGTCTTGCGAAACTGATAAAGATGGTGTAGATAACTCAGTTTCGAAAAAAATGACAGATACGTCAGTTAGAAAGGCAAGCGACGTTATGAAATGATGATGATGATGATTATGATGACGATGATGATGATGATGATGATGATGAACTTATGTTTTGTTCGCAGGCCAGCGTGGTAGTGGGAGGGAGAGGCCGCATGATCACTGGTGTGAAGGTCATGCGCTATGAGATAGTGGAGGTAATTATGCCATTATTTTTTCTAGAGTTTAAGTTGGTAAAGCCTGGTCCGTGAGCACGTAGAATTTTGTCCAATGACCCCAAGCTACCCATCCTTATCGCTCGCGCGTAATTATGTTGCTGTCTCGCTCGCACACTCACTCTTTACGTGCTCACGGACCAGGCTTTAGATCTATGTAATAATTAACGTCGTTTCACTTTAATAATACATGTAAATATGAAGGTTATTGAAGTGACAGTTTTCATCCATATGATCATTTAACGTAACTGCTAGAACCTACTTACTTTAGTAACATATTTCTTTATTTTGCGATAGGAAATCGATCCTTTTCTTTCAAAATACTACTACTACTTTTAAGGCAGCTGTTTGAATAATTTTAATTTATTTCGGTAGATTTTTGTACAGTAGGACCTGGGTGAAAAACAATCTTCGCTATCCTTTGTCTGAATAATAGGTAACTTAAAAGAATCTACTTTTATCCCAGTTTTTGAAGAAGGGTGCTTGTGACATTTAATTTTCTACGACTAAGGCCCAGAACAGACGGTGAAACGCAACTGCAACGAAACTGCAACTGCTAGTTACTTTTGAGTTGCATCTAAGTTTCTGCCATAGCGTCCGTTGAGAGACCACACTTGACGCGACCAGTTTGAAACTTTCACTTTCAGTTTCATTCATCAGAATCATCAGAATGTTGCAGTTTCGTTGCAGTTGCGTTTCACCGTCTGTTCTAGGCTAACTGAAATCCACGAAAGCAAAACGGCTCGTCAAAGTTACCACCTCTCTTTTCTTATTCGTTTCGCTCTTGGTAGAGCGGTCGTGGTCACGTTGAGGCGTTGTCACATCGGTTGTAGAGCCGGATACAACTCTCCGCACGATCTCCCGCCATCTCTCTCTGTTGGCAGACTGTCTGGTGCAGTCACATACGCTGTCTCCCACTGCCGATTTCACTTGGTCGGTCCAGCGCATTGGTGACCTGCCACGCGATCGGTTTCCTTCGACTTTTCCTTGGACGACCATTCGCTCTATGGAGTTGTCATCTCGCATATCATATCCGAAGTATTGCCTAGGTATATCTAAATAAAAATCTTCTGTCACAGTCAGGATTCGAACCCTACGAGCACCTGGGCATAGAGAAGGGCGGGCAGCAGATCCACGAGGCCAAGCTGGCGTGGCTGGAGCTGCTGAAGCGAATGATCCTGATGCAGGAGTTGAGGAACAGCTTCATGCTGGTCGAGGAGGCCCACAAGAACGCCACCAAGTAAGTTTGTACTTTAGAGTTAGCGTCTTAAAGTCCGTATTACAAAAAGGTTGAAACTCGAATCAATCTTAGTCATAGAGTCGTAAGAAGAGTACAGACTAGAACAGGGCCCCGATTGCGCTAATGTGTAATGTATCCAATTCATTCGCGTTCCATCTCTAGTCCACACTCCAGTTACGCTCCAATTTCATTCCAGCTGATATGAAATTCGGTATCGCGCTTTAGCGCTTTAGTGAACTTTACTTCACGCGTAAAAAAAATCAAACAACGGATTTATGCACTTTCCATTAAAAGTCCGAAGTGTCCGAACACCTTATTTTTTCACTAAAATACAGCAAATTTTCGTGACGCGTTTGACTTGCGTTTGAGATAAAGTAGCCTTCTCTCAGTTTTTACACAAAGAAGCAGTTTGCTTTCCGTTTACGTTACAGCTTCGTTTTAGCTAACTGTCGAAACTACACCGCGATACGAATTTGTACAGCTGATTTTGCATTCGTCGTCCAGTAGCGTTGCAGTTGAAAATATTTAGCGCAATCGGGGCGCAGATCTTCTGCAATACGGACCGTAAGCTTAGAATCCAAAAAATTTTTTCACACTAACTTCTTGTAGTAGTCGTGACGTTGTCGCCAAGTACTTGGGGCGTGAATGTTTGAAACGGGGATATTGAAAAAATCTTAGGTCAAAACTTATCATAACTCTTTTCTGTTGCGTAGTCAATGTACTGATATTCCTCGTCTTAAAAATTCACCTTCTGTAAATAAAGCTTTTCAGAGACAAACTTCGACAAACTTTGAAAAAGATCTCTTTTCGCTGTATTTCAGTCAACAGCACATCAGCTATAATCTGATCGCCGAGCACGTAGAATTTCATCCAATGACCCCAAGCTACCCATCCTTATCGCTCGCGCATAATTATATTGCTGTCGCGACTGTGCGCGGACGCCCGCAGTGAGAGTGCGAGCGCGACAGCAACATAATTACGTGCGAGCGATAAGGATGGGTAGCTTGGGGTCATTGGACAAAATTATACGTGTTCGGAGACCGGGCTTTATATATTTTTGTTGCAAAAATATAACTTATTACTTCTAGGTGCAAATGTTTAGATTGATGTGCTCTTGTCTAATAATGTATTTAATTAGTAAAAAATGCCCTAAATTTTGGGCCTGGCTGCCGATGAACTCACCCTTCTTCCTTTGTAAGGACTGGACGGGGTACCCTCTATTTTGATTATAAAACTACCCGCATTTGTAAAAAACTTTTTTTTTGCGTGCTTGAATGTGTGTAGTTTTTGTTGTTAGCTAACAATCTTTATTTAATTTTTTTAAGGTAAGTCTGTTCAGAGTAGGCTTTTTTTAATCCGCATATAAAATAATAATAACTCAAAGTTAATTTTATAAGGTTCTGGATCTGTAAACATTTCCAAAGACTCGTGACTTGACCTGTGACCTTAGAAACAAATATGCCAACACATAAGTTCTTATTAAGAAATTTTCGAATACCTAAATGGGGATAACTATCCTTTAAAAATCTGCTTTTAGTTACGAACGAATGCTTCAGCATTAAATTATTTTACGTTTTATGATAGACTTTTGCCCACATGAAATTTTGCCTGTACAGAAAAAACTATCGCGTACGTGTCCATTTTAAAACCGGGTCTCGAACCAAAGTGCATCAAAGTCGGTTTAGGCGTAAAAGAGTAGGTAACAAACATAAAGATTTACTTTTCGCGTAGATAGGGACGATCAATGACCTAGTAGCTGTGATTTAAATAATATCCCCATGGAAAACCATTCTCTTATAAAATAGGACGTTTAGATTTTCCTTAAAATGAAAGGCTTCTTCATCTTTTAAAAAATAACAGATTTATTCGTCCAGCTGTTCTTCAGTCTTCCTCTTAGTAACGCCATTTTGAAAATAATGTTTAGACTTACAGAACGATAACAATGAATAATTTCTTTTAAACTCGAAGAAAAACTTATTGAATTACCTCCTTGAGGTTGGAAAATTGTCTATAACTTTCAATAGTAAAGATATTTGAATTACTTAAGCTGCTAAAAAATCAGTCTTCGTAGTTAGTTTGGGCTGCAGTCGTTTGGGAACAAAAATCGGTTTCTTATGCATGGGTACTTATTTAAAATCTAGATAGGATCTGGTCTGTAAAATTTAAATCTAATATGACTGACAAATACGTATTTGAGATTCCTCAATTTTAACTTATCTGTCCAAATAATGCCTTTAGTATTCACATCTAATATCAGAGTTCATCGCCAGCAGGGCTTCTAATCTGACCATTAAAACAGAAGGAAACAGAATGAAAGAGAAGAATTTTGTGAATGAAGAAGAATCATCGAAGATTATTGATTCATTCTTTGGGAATCCAGCGTAACCTGTACAGTCCTTAAGAGGAGAGCGACTCGGCAGCATTTAAAGATAGACGCTAAAAGATAAACTTCTTCTGCAGGCGACACCATGTGCTATGTAAAGTTGTTGTGCCCAGAACAAATGCAACCTTGGCATACATTACAAACGAACTCGAAGAAATGGAGAGAGAAAACTTTTTTAGACTAAAAAAGATCTTGAATATTAAAAGAAAAGGCAAGGATCCTCAATGTGCACACACATCCCCAGTAGAGAACTGCGCGTCCTGCAAAATTAAATTCAAAGATCTAGAAGAAGAAAACTGCGCTGTTTGCGGCATCACTTTATCAGTTTTCCCTAAAATAGAGCCTATAGAAGAGGAGGAGGAATTTGAACCTGAAAAGAGATTAAGCAAATTAGATTCTAATATTCTAGATGCGTTCAAAGGTCATATTGCAGATATTATAGAAATAACTGAAAATATGAAAGGGAAGGGAATAGGCGCAGCCAGTGTTGAGAAGTTCTTGAGAACAGCCAGTGAGCTTAGAGATAAGTTGAATAATAAACGAAAGTCAAAAGATTCAGAAACAGCCGAGGCGGTTGAGGAAGAACTTCAAAAGATAGCGTCTAATGTATCCGTGGACAAATTGTGCGATATGTGCATCAAAAGGTACGAAGACGAACAAGCTGCTAAAGGAGCTAAACTGGACAGAGTTAGAGAAGATGAAGCAGAGGCTAAGACTGAAGCTGCAAAACTAGCAATAAAAAAAGAGGATACCAAGCAAATAGATTTAGAATTAGGTGTCTTTGAAACTGAGTATCAACAAATTACTAAAATTATTAGAGTGAAAAAAGAAGACGGCACGATTACTGAGGAAAGAAAAGTCATAAAAACAAAGAAAGAAAGCAAAACACCTATCAGACCACCTGATAAAGATGAACCGCAACACAGCGGGAATTTAATGTACCAGGCTTCGGGATCGTCTTCGAAGTCGAATGCTTACGGATCTGGTTCAAAAACTGTCAATATGGTCGCAGTAAACGACAGGTCTATCTTCAAATACAAGAAAAATGTGGACAGGAAAGTGAAGTCCGAAGTATTGTTATACGTTTCATCTCTGACGTGTCCGATTGTGAGATACTGTATGTCGTCGGCTAGCATGATCTCTGCAAGTGATGATTTTGAATTCTGTTACAAAACGCTCATAGAAAACAGCGATGATTACACAGAGATTTATGATATAACACTGAAAGAAATATACGCTTCAAGTTCCGAACTTGAAAAGACTATCAATTCTTTTGAACAGTCCACAACGCCAGATAGCTCTCGGAGTGAGAGACATGTTCACCTTAAAACTGATTAAAAAGTAAAGTTGTAGTTAGGTTTTGTTTTCGTAGATTGTAACTTCTCTTTGGCAAAACATGTCTCTTTAGTCAATTTTTGTGAAATTTCCGGATAGTCCTTAGAGGAATTAAAAGGGTGGTTTACGGCAGCAAAGCAAAATTACATCAAAAAGTAAATTTAAATAATTTGTCTCCAGACGGCTCAACGCAATTCGAAAGATTGTGGTACCAAGAACACAAGTCACAATACATTATATTCTGCTTGAATTAGAAGAAATGGGCCGCGAAGAACTATTCAGAATTAAACTCGTTAAGAAGTGGAAAGCACGTTTAAACAAAGAAAAGGAGCAAGGGAAAAAAGAAATATGTCCAATTTGTAATAAAGAAATCACTCCAGAAGAAATGAAAAAACATAAAGAGGAAAGCCAAACTAAGATCAAGACGAGAACTGAATCAGCACCTAAAGTGATAGTAATAGAGCCTGTACCAAAAGCAATACCACCTGTCACGCCACCCTTACCTCCTAAACCAGTACCAACTCCACCTCAATCAGAACCTAAAACACCACCTCAGCCTTGCCTTCAGCCACCTTGTATAGCAGTGGAGCTACCGCAAAAATTAGAGTCTATAAAAGAAATTTATAGACCTCCGTCAGCACGAGCTGTGGTGGAATTGGACAATCTGACCAGAGTCCTATCAGTAGGACGACCTGCTGAAGACAATAGGTTGGATTATTTAAAGAAGTTATTAGCTGAAATAATTGGTATAGGCAGAGAAATGGTTGAATCTGGCGTCAATAATATTGACATGGACGAGTTCTTGAGAGTATGCGAAGAAGCTAAGGCAAAAATTGATAACTTTTTCAGTGAGGAAGAGCAGACTACATTTCAAGTAGATCCAAATTTGCAAAATCGTCTGCAACATTTGAAGCTGCACTTGAGAGAAGTTATTGATTTGACACAGGACTTTAGGAATGAAACCATGTTGACGACTAGTGTCGAACACTTTATTGAGACTTGTGAGGAAGTAGATGAAAAACTAGATGTGTACATGAAGAATGTTGAAAGCAAACCTATCTCAGGAGAAACTAAAGCAAGATTGGAAACTCTCAAGCAGCATATCAAAGATGTCGTAGATATGACTGAAGACTACAAACTACAGGGATTACTAACACCCAGTGTGGAAGATTTCATAAAAACCTGCCGATCTGTTCAGTCTAAAATTGATACGTACAGCAAAGAACCTGACAAAAATCTTGACGTTGAAAGGCTAAATCATTTAAAAGACCATGTGGGTCAACTTGAGAAATTAACGACAGATATCAAAGAAGAAGGAATGGTATCGTCTAGTTTGGAGAAGTTTTTACTGTCATGCAAAGATTTCAAAACAAAATTGGATGATTATAAGAAGAGAGCTAAATTGCCACCGCGCGCAACGTTTGGAGATATTAATAAATTAGTTGAACAGATCGATGAAACAATGGACCTGAGTGAATTAGCCAAGGACGAAGGCTTGATTTCAGAGAGTGTTGATGAGTTTATAAGATGCTGCGAAAACATGAAGAAACAGTTGGAAATTAAAGATGAAGAACCAAAACCACAGACTTTGGGTGAACTAAGAACCAATATCGACGGTGTTATTAAACTTATTCAAAATTTGAAAGCTGAAGGTTTGATCACAGAAAGCGTTGAAGACTTTTTGAAAACGTGTGAATCGACGAAAGGAAAGATTGATGTATACGACCGGTATCCATTTACTGAGCCTGAAGTAAAGAAAACTTCAATGCCTTGCTCCGCTAACTGCACTTGTGGTGATGATAAGGAAGAACCGATGGACGAAGACGAAGTCTGTGAGAACTGTGAGAAGATGATGAAAGAGCCACTTAAACCAGTATTACCTTATGCTATTGAGCCTTGCGATAGTTGCAGAGGCTTGGTCAAATATGAAGCAGAGGAAGAATATCCTTGTGATAATTGTTCTCAAGTAATTGAACCGAATCTCTGCACGCATTGTAAGCAAACTAAGAGTGAAGAGGAGTGCCCATCAATAGAATGCCCTCTGCATCCAATAGAACCGCTGCCTCCGCCACCAGAACCAAAACCACCAAGTCCCGTTGATAGCAGCCTCGGTTACTTTGAAAAGAAGATCAAGAAGATCACCAGAGTAACAAGAACGTTGAACGATGATGGGACTATTCGGGAAGAGACAGAGACAATTATTATCAGAAAAAACAGACATGACCCGAACGAAACCGGTTTGATGGACGATGATGATGATGACGAAGGTGATACGGCATCCTTTGAAGATATACCGGATGAAAATGATGAGAACTGCTGTGCTTTGTGTTTGACGTTAAATCAAAACCAGTTAGGGTTCCGGAGGTCAAAATCTGAGGAGACAATCAAGCTGCCTTCAATGGCTGAACCGAATTTGAGACAATGCATTTCAATTGATATGAATATGTTTAAAGATGATAGTTTTCCAGGACTCGATTTCAGCGATGAAGTTTTTGACTCTCTAAAATCTGTTGAAGAAGTACCCTCCTTTAAAAATTAAAGTACAAATTCATTAGGCTCTACAAGAACTATCTGGAAATTTCACTCAAAAACATGAATTTACTATCTTTATTACTATTTATTTTTCTAAAATATTTCAATCTCCTGAAATATTGTTTCATATTCGAGGCATACTTAATTAAACGTACATTTATTTCCACTTTTCCTATTACAATTATGTTGAAAATATTTAATAAACACTGAATATCGCGTTGTTATTTGTTTTCTTTTTTAAATCTAAATCTTTCTTTGAAAACCTGTCCAGTAAATAAATAATTTGAAGGATGAGGGTGAGTTATTGGCGGATGGCATTAGAAGAATGAATTCTTAGATACACGGTTTGTCCCACAGGAAAAGGAATGTATTGACCAAAACAGTTGTACCAAGGATTCTGGCTAACATTGGTTACATCATGAATGAGCTACAAGAGATGGAAAAAGAAGAAACGTGTGAGCATAAAAGACAGCCAGAAGAAAATGCTACTTATCGCCCAGATAATGGGGTTGAAATTATTTGTTGCTGTTGCCTGTCATCGTATGATACTGGCAATGAAGAGCCCAAAGATACTGAATCGGTTTGTCCCGAGTGTGCTGATGATGCCGGGAACGAAGAGCCGAAGGATACAGAATCGTTATGTCCCGAATGTGCCGAGGGAGTATCACAAGAAGATACCGGGTCACTTTGTCCTTCTTGCGCTGAAAGTGTAGCCGAATCTGTGTGCCCAGTTTGTGCTGCTAGTAGTACTAGAACTTCAAATTCTGCCACGTCTCTAAATAATCATGAAAACACAGAAGCTAAGGAACAAGAAGAGAAAAAGAGGTTGGAAAATCTCATGTCTCACATCGATGACGTAATGTTCGATTTGAAGAACCACGCTGAAGGCATGGCGTCTAGAAGTACAGAGAAATTTATAGAAACATGCAATAAGTTTAAAGGAACAATTAAATCCTTCGCAAACAATCCTTTAAGTTTGTCTTTGTGTGATCTATGCAAAAAGTGCGAAGATAAAGGCAACGCAGTTGCCAAAAGACCATCTCACACTGGTTCAGTGAAATCTGTAAGTTTTCCACCAGAAACCGAAAGGATAGAAACGCCAGAAACGCAAGAAACGGATAACGAGGAGCTTGGATTCTTTGAGACAAAAACTGAAGAGATAGTCAAAGTCAGTAAGTTTTTAAACAAGGATGGCAGTGTTGGAGAAGAAAAGCAAGTGATAACAATCAAGACGGAAAGGAAAACTCCGTCAGGGCCAAAAGAAGATGAAGAAATGAAAGAGACAGAGACGCCAAGACTTTGTTGCAGTGAGAGCTGTTTCTCCAAGACACCATCTACTCAATCTAAATCTGAATTGTCAAGGAAATCGTCACGGTCATCATTCCCAGATCAGAAAGGTACAGGCACTGGGGAAAACAAGGGAACGTGTTGTGTAGACAGAATAAGCAGTGAAAAACTGCATAATGGTAAAAGATCAGGGTCAACTGACGCAGTATGGAGAGATGCGCGAACTTCAACGTCAGATTTAGACACCATGGCTGGTAATACGCCATCTAGTTGCCCGTTATGTTGCGGTCAAAACGCAAGTAAACAAGAGGTTACACAACCAAGCAGTTGCACTATAAAAATTATTAACAAGCCCGGTCCAGCTCCTTTAGTTATATGCCCTCAACATGAATCTAATAAGTCCAAATCATCAGGTTGTGTCACATGTAACTATGGTTCTAAGACGTCTGTATGTAAATCATGTAGAGACGATCAAGGAGGTGCCACCGCTTCTGAATCTTCCTTATGCTCAAAATGTGCAGGCAACGATAAACCCAAGCGCAAATGCCCTAGATGTGGCAAAGAAAAGAAGCAACCGCCTGTTAAACATACCTGTCCAATATGTAAAGCAGCATCGAAACCAAAATTATGCAAGCACTGTGAAGAGAAAGCTGCAAAACCTGCCAATACTTGTCCGTCTTGTGGCGTTGAAAAACCTAAAAAATCTAAGAAGGACAAAGATTGTCCACTATGTAAAGAGATGTCTAAAGAATCGAATAAAGGTTGTTCTCTGTGTGCCAAAAAGTCAGAGTCTAAAAGCGAGGTTGGCTGTCCATTATGTGGAGAAAAACCTCAGGAAAATAATGATAACTGTCCGTTATGTATCAAAAAAGCTGAAGATTCAAAAAAGAAAAACGGTTGCCCTCAATGCGCTAAGAAAGCGGAAAAATCTAAAAAAGGTAACGGTTGTCCACAGTGTGCTAAGAAATCAGATTCAAAAACTAGTTTGGGCTGCCCTATGTGCAGTGGCAAGTTTCAATCGAAAACTGACAATAGCTGCCCATCGTGCGCTAAAAAATCTAAAGAATCCAAAAAGGACAACGGATGTCCTAATTGCAGTAAGAAATCTGATTCCAAAACCAGTTTAGGCTGTCCTTCATGCAGTAAGAAATCTGGATCGCAAACCAGTTTAAGCTGCCCCATGTGTGGTAATAAATCTTCATCAAAAATAGATAACAGTTGCCCATCATGCGCCAAGAAGTCTAAATCTAAAAAAGATGATGGCTGTCCTACTTGCAGTAAGAAAAATGGGTCGAAGACTAGCTTAGGATCTGAATCAAAAACCAGTTTAGGCTGTCCTATGTGTAAATCTTCATCAAAAATGGATAATAGCTGCCCATCATGTGCCAAAAAGTCGAAATCTAAAAAAGATGATGGCTGTCCTACTTGCAATAAGAACAATGGGTCGAAGACTAGCTTAGGATCTGAATCAAAAACCAGTCTAGGTTGCCCCATGTGTGGTAGTAAGTCTTCATCGAAAATGGATAATAGCTGCCCATCATGCGCCAAAAAGTCGAAATCTAAAAAAGATGATGGCTGTCCTACTTGTAATAAGAAATCTGGCTCTCAAACCAGCTTAGGCTGTCCTACATGCAGTAAGAAATCTGGATCGCAAACCAGTTTAGGCTGCCCCATGTGTGGTAGTAAATCTTCATCAAAAATGGATAACAGTTGCCCATCATGCGCCAAGAAGTCTAAATCTAAAAAAGATGATGGCTGTCCTACTTGCAATAAGAACAATGGGTCGAAGACTAGCTTAGGATCTGAATCAAAAACCAGTCTAGGCTGCCCCATGTGTGGTAGTAAATCTTCATCAAAAATGGATAACAGTTGCCCATCATGCGCCAAGAAGTCTAAATCTAAAAAAGATGATGGCTGTCCTACTTGTAATAAGAAATCTGGCTCTCAAACCAGCTTAGGCTGTCCTACATGCAGTAAGAAATCTGGATCGAATACCAGTTTAGGCTGCCCCATGTGTGGTAGTAAGTCTGCATCAAAAATGGATAACAGTTGCCCATCATGCGCCAAAAAGTCTAAGTCCAAAAAAGATAATGGCTGCCCTACTTGCAGTAAGAAAAATGGGTCGAAAACTAGCTTAGAGTGTCCTACATGCAGCAAGAAATCTGAATCTAAAACCAGTTTAGGCTGCCCTATGTGTAGCAGTCAGTCTTCGTCAAGAATAGACAACAGCTGTCCTTTATGTGCTAAGTCTAAAGAATCTATAAAGGACGATGGCTGTCCACAATGTAGTAAGAAATCGGGATCGAAAATTAGCTTTAGCTGTCCCATGTGTGGGGATAAATCTCAAACGAAACTTGATGATAGCTGTCCTCTATGTTCCAAGTCTAAAGAATCAATAAAAGACAACAGCTGTCCGCAATGCAGTAAGAAATCGGAATCGAAAGCCAGCTTAGGCTGTCCTATGTGTGCCAAATCTAAGGAATCCATAAAAAACAATAGCTGTCCATTATGCTCCAAAAACTCAGAAATAAAACTAGACGGTTGTCCAATATGCACTAAGAAATCCGAGCCCGAAAAATCCTGTCCTATTTGCAAGAAACCTGATGACAAAAAATGTCCTATTTGCGACAAGAAAGAAGAACCTAAGACCTGTCCTATATGTGACGCAAAAAAGGAGGAACCAGCCCCCGAAGAAACGGACAAGTCTAAGAAAAAAGGCAAGAAAGACTCTAAAGTATCCAAAAAAGATAGCAAAGATCTTCAGCATAGTTGTAAATTTTGCGGCGTTAAAGGCAAAAAATCCAAATCTGATAAAGATGTATGCCCCATTTGTACTAGTGTAGAATCCAAGGAACAAGAACAAGACAAAGCTAGCGAATGTCCAATATGTGGTGCAGCAAAACCTGAAGAACCAGAAGACGATAAGGGCAAGAAAAAGAAGTCTAAAGATAAAAAGAAGGAAGAGAAAGCACCAAAACACAGTTGCAAATTTTGTGGAGAAGCAAAAGGAAAGAAAAAGAAGGATGGCGAAAGCTGCCCGATATGTACTGCGGCCGAGTCCGAATCTCAAAAATCTCTGGAAACTGCCTCATCGAAAAAATCTCTATGCGGTTTTTGCGGTGACAAAACTGAATCTAAGAAATCGCTTTGTGGGTTTTGCGATGATGATAAAAGTACGTCAAAGAAATCATTATGTGGGTTTTGTGATGACAAGTCTGAAAAAGAAAGTAAAGCTCCAGCCGGCTGTCCAGTTTGTGGCAAAGAAAAGCCTAAAGATACAACACCTGGGTGTCCAACATGCAATAAACCTAAAGAAGAGCCAAAAGCTTGTAAGATTTGCCAGGAGAGAATGGACAAGAAAAATGCCTGTCCATTGTGTGCTGCACAATCAAAATCTGCTTCTGACACAACAGCTTCTAGTGCAAATAAAGATAGCCCATGCCCATCGTGTAAGAAAGACGGTAAAAAATCTAAGTCCGAGTGCAAAATGTGCCTTGAAAATGCTGCAAAGAGTAAAGAAAAAGATGTCTGTCCAATATGTGGACCAGATGAACCAGAAAAGCCAGAAACTGAACCTGATAGTCCATGCCCTTCGTGCAAAAAGGATGGCAAAAAATCCAAAGGGCAGTGTGGTATGTGCCAACAAAACGCAGAGAAACATAAAGCTAGTAAAGAGCCAAAATGCACGTGCGCCGAAAAGAAAGGGCCCGAATGTAGTTGCCAGAACAATAAGGAGCCAGAATGTTCATGCCAGAAGGGGCCTGAATGCTCCTGCCAAAAAAACAAAGAACCTCAATGCTCATGCCAGAAAAAAGAATGCACTTGCCAAAAAAAAAACGACCCAAAATGTTCGTGTCAAAAAGATAAGGGACCTGAATGCTCTTGTCAGAAAGGAAAAGGTCCCGAATGTACTTGCAAGAAAGGAAGTCAGCCTGATTGTACTTGCAAGAAAGGAAGTAAGGCCGATTGTACATGCAAGAGTGGGAGTAAACCCGACTGTACATGCAAGAGTGAGAGTAAATCCGATTGTACATGTAAGAATGAAAAAAAACCTGACTGTACATGTAAGAATGAAAAAAAACCTGACTGTACATGCAAGAATGATAAGGACCAAGGACCAAAATGTTCTTGTTCAAATGACGCATTATCTACAAAGTCAGTAGAATCGTTATGCAAGTCTTGCTCTGACAGCCAAAAGCAAGAAGACAGCTGCCCCAAGTGTAGTGGTGACAAACCTGCAAAAAAGCCAAAAAAATCTTCTTCTAAAACGTCACTATGCAGTCATTGTAAAGAGCAATCTAAACCTAAGAAACCTAAATGCACTTGCAAAGATCCAAAGCCTTTGAAGTCAAAAGAGTCATTATGTAAATCGTGTTCAGATATTCAGAAAGAGGAAGACAGCCTGTGCCCTAAATGTGGCGGAGACAAGCCCCAAAAGCCAAAGAAATCTGCTTCAAAAACCTCTATGTGTAGTCATTGTAAAGAACAATCTGAACCTCCAAAGTCATCTTGTCCGTGTGGTGACGGTGGGCAGCCTGCTAAAGCCAAAAAATCATCGTGCGAGGTTTGCTTCGACGACAAAAAACAAGAAGACGATATTTGCGCTCAATGCGGTAGAAAGAAACCCCAGAGTTTGACGAAATCTGTATCTCAATCTGGTTCTTTATGTAAGCATTGTAAAGAGCAAGCTGAACCCAAGAAACCACCATGTGATTGCAGCCCGAAACCATCTAAACCAGCTCTAAAGAAATCGTCAACATCAGTGTGCAAAGAATGCGAGAAGAAAAAGAAACAGGAAAGCGATAGAAGTGGATGTCCTTACTGCGCTATGAAGTCACAAACAAGAAGCTGTTCTTTCGCTCTTGACGTATCATCTACTGGATCAGAATCAGGCAGCGATTCGTCCTGTTGTTCCATTTCAAATAAGAGTTTTGGCATCGAAACTGAGGAGTGTGTGCCCTCTTGTAGCTCTTACAAATCCGCATCCAGCGAAAAAGAGTTCAGCGATGAAGATGCCGCCGATGCCTTGTGCTGTAACAGCACTCAGACTGTCATGAAATCCTCATTGAAATCTTGCTGTTCCACCAAAAAGAAGTCCTCACAACGCACCTGTTGCTTCGCAGAGCCTAAGCCACCTCCAAAATGTCCCATATGCGTCCCAATGGCGGACGCATCTGTGAACACGAAGTCAGCTGACAGATATGACGTCAGACCCATCCTGATGATACCTGGTGCAACCAATAAGCCCACCTGCTGCTGCAAAGCAGAGCCTAGCAAAGTCTGCAACTGCAGATCCGAGCCAAACTGCACGCCTAGCAAGAAAAAATCCTCCTCAAAATCTAAATCATTCTGCGAAAAAGATTGCACCTCCTTTGGAGGTCTGTACCTCTGAAATTGGAGTTTTAGTTTGCAAATTGATGAATCTCAAAACTATTTTGTCATTAAATATTTCATCAGTACTGAAATTGGATTTTATTCTTCCAACTTTATTCCTAAAAATTATATTGATTGACAAGAATGCAGTCTGCGCATTACTGCATACTTACACTTACTACTAATGTAAATTATTGTATCTTGTAATTAAGGGGCTGACAAAGGTGACTGATTTTTGTCCACCAATCCTTCTCAGCACCAACCGACAAGTTGTCCCGAAGTGGCGGTTGACCAAGCTATTTTGGGACGTGTATAAATGCCTTGAAAAGGTACATACTCATAGAGGATTTGAATTTGAATCATCATCATCATCTCAGCCATAGGACGTCCACTGCTGAACATAGGCCTCCCCCAATGCTTTCTATGCTGCCCGGTTGATAGCGGCCTGCGTCCAGCGCCTTTTTGATGTCGTCTGTCCACCTTGTGGGTGGACGTCCCACGTTTAATTTGAATATTACTTTACTAGAATACTAAATGCAAAAACGCAGTCAGGTTGAAGGATCCTACTTTTTAACACCATCGAGACATAACGCGTTTTTTTTTTCTTGTAAGGTACTTTCCAGGATTTCCCCCAGTTCCCGTATATCACCCAATGCGGTATCGCGGTGACCCACTTGGTTTGTTGCCAGTGCACTGGTTCGATTCCCGGCTGGAGCAATAAAAAAGTGCTTTAAAATGTAGAGTTTATGTGCGGTTTTAACCTCTGATTTAAAGAATGGTGTGAGATTGTTGCCCAAATAGCCCATATTCAAAATTTTGTGCAAAACAAACGACTGTTTCAAGAGTCGATAAAATAAACGAACCCCATGAAAAACTTAATTTGATAATGATAAAAAAAAGAAATGGGCAAGCTATAGGTCTAGCGCTTATCTCGGTCAATGCCTGAGGTATGGGAGCGGCACGGGAGGGGTGACATTGACATATTGTGACGTGACAGAGCACACAAATCGATAGTTCCAAAATACTGAACTGTCCTATGCATGACATTGACAGCGGGGCGCCACCGTCAACACCGGATCGCTGGTTCCAATTTTTGCCATGTTGGAAACCATATAGTTGAACGATGGTAGCGCCCCCCTGTCATTGAGTTTGGTGGGACAGTTCAGCGTGGGTCATCTATAACGCACATTTCAAGTCTTGCTGACGTTTGACATCGCAAAAACACCCTACCGTGCTGCTCTCAGGCACTGACTGAGTTTAAGCGCTATTAAATAAAACCGTTTAAAACAACTAGAAATAGTCGATAATATTCCAATGATCGTAATATTTTCGGAAAATGACTTTCTTTTAAACGACTTCATAAAATACGTTTTTTTACCCACACCCTTATTATTACATCAACATCATTATGCCATGAGCTAAAATTTAGATAAAAATAAAGGCTACGCAAACTTCCAGAAATTTTAGGTGCTTTAAATAAGTTTTTATAGGGTTTTCCCTATAATTGCTCTATTGTTTTTAAGCTTTAAGGTCATGCTTTGATTGCCAATGGGTGGTCCACAGCATCCTGCTTATATTATAAATGCGAAAGTTTGGATGTCAGGATGTCTGGATGTTTGTTACTCTTTCACGCAAAAACTACTGAACAGATTTTGATGAAACTTTACAGTATTATTGTTTATAACGCAGAAGAATAACATATAGGCTATAATTTATGACGATCTGTGACAGACTAAATTTCACGCGGGTGAAGTCGCGGGCAAAAGATAGTTAAAAATAATAAAGCATTACCTACTTCCCAGAGAATTTTTAGTACAATCGATAGTAAAAGCAGGATATCTTAGCATAAGCTGGAGGTATACCCTCAAATTACCTCAGGCACGTGCCCCTAGTGACAGTGCAAGAATAACTACTACAATACTACCGTCTATATGCGTCGTGTGAAAATTCCATAGGTGCGCGCGCGCAGACGGCATCCCGTGACGTCACAATAGTAGCGGGAGCGCTGCCAAACGTAAGCCAGGGCTGGCAGACACGTAGCCAAAAACTAGGAAAAATAAAAAGGATTATTATGGTTTTTAGGGTCATTTAATTCAGGAAGACACAGTTACTAAGCGTATTGGTATACCAAGGGTGTGAAACTAATCGAGTATAGTTTGGAAATGACTTTTTTTACTAAGCTCCTCCAAACTATACACGACACGCAAAATTCGTGTATAGTTTGTAGTCACAGACTTACAAACAGGCACTACAAAATATACACGAGCAGTTCCTATGGGTGCGTTCTGGCCATGTATAGAACGGAAAGACGCACCGTCGAAATGGGAGAAGACAAACTCCAAATAAAAAAAAAATAAAAAAAAAATTTTCATCGCCATTATTTTGGCCATTTAGTCTTCACTGCAGGACCCTCTCTAATTTACCCATCTGAGAGACCAGGGTGGGGACTGTAGACCAAACGGAGGATTTGGTCTACTCTTTCCACCCTGGTCAGATGGGTTGGGGACGCCTAATTTTCGTATTATTTACTTCTTGGTCGCCATATTTACAACATCCACGGGAACGGAGGAATGGCTCTGAAAATGAAACATTTATTATTTATGTAATAAATGGTCCATTAACCCATTACTTCTTCACCTACGAATATACATAATACGGTCACCTTAGCTAATGATAGTTTTTCTTTTTAATTCATCATCATTATCTACTACTGTGTTATTTTACCGTCCTTTTTTTCGTCTCCAGTTTTTCGTTTGCATCCCATTGGTTTTTGACTACGTAAAGTCATGTAGTCGCCACTGCAAGCTGGAGCGAGAGCCTCTGTAATTATTTGACCTACACTCCCAATGCCCTGGTCAGACGGGTAAAAACATTTAACTGAAATAAACTGGTCAACTTCTGCCAACCCTAGCCGACAATTTGCGAGTCCCCGAGACGAAACGGTTGTTCTATTTAATTGTTTTACTATCTACTAATTATCCGCCTCCGAATGTCGAGTATCGGAGCGATGCTGGTCATTCTTTTGTCATTTATTTGCCAGTCTAGACGCCGCCATATTTATTTCGGACGCAAATAGACTTTGCAAGTGTTGCGGGGAAGTTTGGTTTGATGTTGTGATTGGCAAGGTATAAATAAAAAGGAAAAAGAGAAAACATAATGCTTCGCAGGAAAGTGAAGGGTCATGTTTCATCATCATCATCATCATCTCAGCCATAGGACGTCCACTGCTGAACATAGGCCTCCCCCAATGACTTCCATGTTGCCCGGTTGGTAGCGGCCTGCGTCCAGCGCCTTCCTGCTACCTTTATGATGTCGTCGGTCCACCTAACATAACATAACAACTAAAACTAATCAACAGGGTACAGGACAGGAACCAAAATGGCATCTGCTCAGAAGCCGCAACGACAGAACTTTTGCCCCAACCAACGGTCAACAATAATCTACGAGTTATGTGCCCCGTCTGGTCAGAGAATGTATTAATAACTAGCTTTCCGCCAGCGGCTTCGCCCGCGTGGATTTTTGTCTGTCACAGAAAAACTTTATCGCGCGCGTCCCTGTTTCAAAAACCGGGATAAAAACTATCCTATGTTCTTTCCCGGGACTCAAACTATCTCTATGCGAAATTTCATCAAAATCGGTTGCGAGGTTTAAGCGGGAAAGACAGACAGACAGACAGACAGACAGAGTTACTTTCGCATTTATAATATTAGTTGGGATGTCGTGCTCCTGTGGGTCTAGACAAAGTGCAAATTATAATCGCAAACCAGTCGAAAAGTGGTCGAAAAGCCTCTTTTTTGTATGGAGTTTTGACGGATTCGATTTTCGATTCGATCAAAAAGTGCGTTTTGTCTAGGGGGCCTGCAGTGGAGACTAAATGATATGATGATTGATGATGAAGACGTAGCTTATGAAAGCATACTATTAGCAATAAGCTCTTTATATCTCAGATACAGGGTGTCTCAGAATGGGTGAATCAAACTGCTAGGGGAGGTAGCTCTACTAATGTACTATCCCTAAAAAATATGAAAAAAAAAATAAAGCGCATAAGGAAACAAAAAAAATTATTTTTTTTGAAAAAGTGAAAATAAATCAGCTTTGCCTAAGTATCTGGCTATAATTGCTGCGTTTGGAGTTTATTTGTACTTTTTTCTTACTAATATTAATTGTACATGATCGCTTCGTTTATCTGTAAACAAAATTTTGAAAATAATGACAATTTTTTTTTTCTTATTTTTAGGGATAGTCATTAGTACTCATTAGTAGAGCTACCTCCCCTAGCAGTTTGATTCACCCATTCCGGGACAACAGGGTGTCCCGTAAAAAGAAATCGCAGGTGGCAATTTTCTAAAAATGCACAAAAACTTAAAAATCTTGAAAACGGTGATATTTTTACTGGGGTCAAAATTGGACGTTAGGGAGACCATGGCGAGGCCTATCGATGGTTACAGGGTTATCCATTGTTTTTGGGACACCCTGTATACAGATATTTCTCTGTCTACATCCTGTATTGAATAAGCTTCGAAATTAACTGAACCGATTTGAAAATTTCTTTCACTATTGGAATCCTACATTATCGTACGAACATAAGCCAGTCTAAAAATAAACAAAACCTACTTTTTTAATAACTTCGCAAACTTCAAATTACCCAACCAAACCTTCACCCAATTCCCCAAATATCAATTTAAAAGTGAAATTGCTATACAATAGTCATCACATGTTCATTATAGGGTGACAAACGGACAAACAGGCCGTGACCAGTATTAATAGTGGAACAATGTGCTGGGTTTCGCAACGAGAACGAAAATGTATTGTTACAATTCTATTATAGAAGACTGCTGAAAGTTTGGACTTGGGCAAAAACGGAGAGAATTGGTTTCTATCTTTTGACCGAATTAAAGAAAAAGTTTTAAATTCGACTCATGTATCAATCAATGTGATTATTAAAATAATAAAATAATAAGTAAGATGGTAGATGGCTCCCAAACTAATAGAAGAAAATTTTATGGCTCTGTGATAGAT